AAAATATAAAATAATCTAAACAATTTACAATTTTGTATTTTTTTTTTATAATATTGTTTGTAATATATTTCATATTAAAAATATCGTATATACATGTATATAAAATATATAAAAAAATATATAAATATAAATATAAATATAAATATAAATTATAAATATAGATATTCTTTTATTAATGATTAAAATTAAATTATATGTTTTTAAATTATTTTCAAATAATATACATCATGTATTCAAATAAAAAAAAATATTTTTAAATTATAATTTAAATATAAATGTTATGAATATTTCAAGTAATAAATATTTATATATGTAAAATATACTCATATACGTAACTATCTGTAATCACTGTTCTTATATCGAAATTGTTTTATCATATACTATGTAATATATCAAAGTCTTAAAACTGTTCCACAATCTAGTTAAGTAATAAATCCTGAACATAAAATATCATTTATTCTTTGATTTGAACAATATAATTAATAGTTATTAAGTAATTAATTTTAATGTATTTATAAAAATATTTATAAAAATTGTGTAAATAATATATTATAGTTATTATGTCTGATCCAGCGGATACAAATATCTCATATGTGCGTATATAATATCATTTATATATTTTTTCAAAATTAATTATAAATTAAATTCTTTCATTAAATTATATAAAGATTGATCATATTAAAATATATAGCATAAATAAATATTTAACTATTATAAATTAAAATAATCATTTTTATGAATTTTTTATAAATAACCTTTTTCCTTATTTAATTTAAATTAGAAATTCGACAATTTATAAGAGAAATAAAATGATAATTCCTAAATTAAAATTTAGATTTATTCATTATTGTTTTCTTTTAATGAATAATCTTTTAAATATGTATTAGTAAATTTGTAATGATTCGTGACATGTTATATATTCATGAAGGTATTTATTAATTATCAAGAATAAGATTTTTATTATATGAATGAATGTATTAGAAATATATATATTAGAAAATACAAATATATATATATATATTTATATTTATATTTACATACATTCATAATTAATAAAATTTTCTTATTATATAAATACTAATATAATAAAAGTTTCGTATTATCATACTTTTCAGCAATAATTCAAAGAAATAACCTTTCTTTGATGTGTTATTTATTCAATATATAAAAATACAATTATTTTATATTTGTAATATTTCTAGTAATATAGCTATAAATACATTGGAATAGTAGAACTATTCTTATGTTAGATTGAGGAAAGTAAGATCTATTTTAAAGGATAGCGCCTTGTATCTGACCCCATGTAGAAACCGGTGAAGCTTGCGCATGAAAATTCTTTGAAAGCTAATAACGAGCCGAAGACATTTCTATATTCTTTTTCAATAATTTTTCAATATACTCAAAGTATTAATAATATTAGTATATTCATATATTTTACGGAATCTTTTTGTATGTATTTCTATTTTCTTATATGGTTACGACTTTAGCCTTATTCTGAACATTATTTCATTAAGGTTTTAACCACGTGTGGTTTGATTTGCAATGTCAAACTTACGATCACTGGTAAGTACATTCAAATATATAAAAAAACGATAAATTATTCTTTATATTAATTGAAAATTTCAAAGATTTATGTTATATTTATGAATAATTTCAAAAAACCGATCTTATGAATTAGTTTATTATTTTATGAATAATTTTGTTAATTTTTTTTGATATCTGAAAAAAATAAATTTATCGTAAAAAAAACTACACAATTTACGAGATAACATGATTTTTTTAAATGAGTTACATGTTTAATTTTTTATTTAAAAATTTAAGTAATTTTTAATTAACTTTTTAAAAAGAAATATTGTGATTAAATATTTAATTATAAAATTAATTTATATATAAAAATAATGTTCAATGCATACATTTATGATTGAAACTTTCTTACAAATTTTATAAATTTGCATTTTTTAATTTAATTTAAGTTTTACATATTACTAAAATTAAGCAAACTACTTGTATATAATTTTTGAATGATTTTCAAAGTTAACATGTCATTGTGTGATATATTACAATAAATAATTAAAAAAAAATCATTCAATAAAACAATTACATATATTTATTATATGATTATTTGTTTTTATATTTTTTATTATAATTTTGAATTTTTATATTTCTTTTTAGGTTGTATCAGTATTAGCTGCTGTAGGAACTATAGCTGTAATTGGATTAGCAGTTAAATTTTACAAATGTTGGAATAGTGATAAAAAAAAAAAATCTCCTATTTTATTGGTTGATCCAGTAGTTAAATATAGTTTACCATTAATAAAAAAGGATATATTAAGTCATGATACAAGAAAATTTAGATTTGCATTGCCAACATCAGATCACATATTGGGATTACCAATTGGTCAACATGTACATTTAACTGTAAAGATTGGAGATGAAGTTGTTATACGCTCTTATACACCAGTATCAAGTGATGATGATCATGGTTATGTAGATCTTGTTATTAAAGTGAGTAATATGATTCATATATATGTATAAATAGAAGATATATCTATTTTAAATTATAAATAAAAATATACGTAGGTATATTTTAAAAATGTACATCCAAAATTCCCTGAAGGAGGAAAAATGTCCCAATATTTAGAAGATTTGAAAATTGGGGAGACAGTTGACTTTAGAGGACCTTCTGGTCGACTTATTTATAAAGGTCATGGAAATTTTTCTGTAAAAATTTTAAGAAAAGATCCACCTACAGAATATAATGTTAAAAAGGTATGTACATTAAATTTATGCAATCATATTTTATAATCATAAATTTTAAAAATAAAAAAATATTCTTTTATTATATTGTTAATTATATTCTTTTGTTATAGATTGTGATGCTAGCTGGTGGAACAGGAATCACACCAATGCTTCAATTAATTCGTGCTATAATAAAAGATTCTACTGATGAAACTCAAACTTCCTTACTTTTTGCCAATCAAACAGAAAAAGACATATTACTTCGAGATGAATTGGATGATATTGCAAAGAATCATCCTAACAAATTGAAACTTTGGTATACATTAGATACTAGTAGTGAAAATTGGCAATATAGTACAGGTCATATAAATGCAGATATGATAAAAGATCATATGTTCCCTCCATCATCTGATACAATGGTACTTATGTGTGGTCCACCTCCAATGATCAACTTTGCTTGTAATCCTAATCTTGATAAACTTGGTTATGATTCAAAATTAAGATTTGCATATTAGAGTAGAGAAACTAATATTTTATTTAAATCTTTTCACTAAATAAATTTAATGATAATTTTAGTATCTTTAAAAATATATTTCGTCATTTTATAAATCTTGCATTGATTAATATAGATATGTGATGTAAATTTAATATTTAAAAATAGATAGTGATAATTCACAATGATATAATTTACATAATCACATAATGTTATCAATATATAAAAAATATATTAAAAATATTTACAGATCTCAGATTTTTTATTCTTTGAAATAAAATTACAATATTACAATATTATTATAAATTTTGTTTAATTTGAATAATGTTGTTAAAGATTTAATTGAAATTTTTAATTTTATACCAAGTTTAATTTTCAATGCAGAGCTTTAGTAGTGAATAAAATATACTTTAAGATATCAAGCATTTATTGATGTTAAATCTTATATTGTTATAAAAAATGATGATTACAAAATGTATGTATTTTTCATACTTAAATCCCTTTCATACTTTTCTTTTGAATAGCGATATAAGATTTATAACGCAAAATAATATATAGCATTCAAGAAATGATTAATATGTTTAATTAATATCAATATTTCTTAACAAAATAATGAAGCTAAATAGTTTATTATTTGATTATAATTTGTAATATGAAAGAAAGCAGTACAAATAAAGCAATAAATGAACATTTGTAATTAACAACGTCCACGATCCTTCACACGCTTTCTGGGTGCTGCTCGTAAAATATCATCCACACGTAAAATCATTTCTGCTGCTTCTGCTGCACTAAGTAGAACTTGTCTCTTCACAGCCCAAGATTCAGTTACTCCTAATTGTTTCATACAGCCTACTTTTCCTCGTTCCATATCTGTTATTGTGAGATAAAAGTAGTTAATTACTTATTATGATATTTATTAATATTTTTACCAATAATAATTGTAAAAATAAACATACCCAAACCCATGGTATTTGCACCAGAATTATGTGCAGCTCGTAATTCACTAATTAGTTGAGCTGAATCGTAACCAGCATTATCAGCAATAACAGTAGGTAATTGTTGCAATGCTCGAGCAAAAGATTCCATTGCAACTGATTCTTTTCCAGGAGTAGAAGCAGCAGCTCTCATAACGGCACAAGCCATTATCATCTCACTACATCCTCCACCATAAACAATTCTTGATTCGCGAACGGTAGCTGATAATACACAAAGCGCATCGTGTAAAGACCTCTCAGCTTCATCAAGAATTTGCTGGGTTGCACCCCTAATGATTACCGTACAAGCTTCTCCTAAAGGAACTCCTGAAAATCGTAATAAAGTATCTTCGCCTATCATCACCTAAAAAAATAATAAAGCATTAGAAACATTCCACAATTTTAAAAATATTCAAATGTACCTGTTCAATAAGATCACATTTGCCAAGTTTCACCATATCAGGATTATCAAAAGTACTGACTATTTCTCCACCAGTAACAAGAGCAAGTCGTTCGATACCATCGAAATCGGCATGTTCAATAGCCATAATATTAGCATCAGCAAACAATTGTTCTGGATAATTATAAATTAATTGTCTATTAACAAAAACATTGCAGCCATGTTTTATGATCTTGTCAACTTTATCCTAAATTGAAGGCAATAATTAAAAATAAATATAATATCCTTTAAAATTATATATAAATTATAATATGATTAATAATATTACTTTCATTTTTTCTTTTTCTGCTGCTTCTAATTCTGCAATTTTTGCCATTGAATCAACTCTAACTCTAGATCCAAATACCTATAAAACAAGATGAAAATATGTATTATATTAAATTTTATATAATTATTATAGATTTATATTATTTTATATTTTTATATATTCTTTTTCATCTCTTTCTTACTTTGATTTTATCTGTATCCATAGGAGTATTTGCTATAAGTATACGTGCATCAGTTACTCTTTGTGGCTGATGTACTCCAGGCTTTTTATCTAACAAAAATCCATCATCAAGAAATGAATCAGCTAAAGTTCCTCCACGTTTCTTAATTACTTGAATAGCTGATAAATTGCCAGATCCTTTAAGACGCATCACAGCATCTACTGCAAGTTTACTAAAATGTTCTTTATGTTGGGACAGAATTTTTGAACTCAGAGTCGTGCGAGCAATATTTAACAGATCTTCACGGAAACGTTCGGGATCTGCAGAATTATCAGCTGTAGCATTTTTTAAAGCTTCTCTTGCTACATTTGTTGCATTTCTCCAACCAGCAATTATAGTTTGTGGATGAATTTTTTGATCAATTAATTTTTCTGCTTCTCTTAATAATTCAGCAGCTAAAGTAAAAAATAATTATTTTAAATATTATATATTAAATATCGTTAATATTAAAATTTTTTATATAAAAAATATAAATAATAATTAGACAAATTAAAAAAAATTATACCAACCAAGAACAGTCACAGAAGTAGTACCATCACCAACTTCATCATCTTGTACACGAGACATATCTACTAAAATTTTAGCAGCAGGATTATCTACACCAACATTTTTAAGAATTGTTGCTCCATCATTGGTAACTTGAACTTGTCCTGCAGATCGACCATGAGCTACTAATATCTTGTCCATACCTTTAGGACCAAGTGTAGATTTTACTAAATCACCAATAGCTATTGCTCCTACAAATAAACTTAATCTAGCAATTTCTGCTTTTTCTTCCTCTGCCTCATTTTTGAGGATTCTGACAGGATTCAAGGAAACCTGCAAATATTCATATAGATTTTCAATATTATTACAAATAATAATAAAAATTTTCCACATAAATTAAAAGATACAAATTAAAAAATATTATATCTTAATTTAGTTTTTATAATTTATAATTTTCGTTCTTTTTTTTATTATTAATTATTGCTTAATATGAAATATGATTGATATGAAGCAAATCAAAATAATATAAAGAAATTTAAGTATTTTTAGACTATATTATTATATTTAAGAAAAAATTTCATTTTTTTTGCAAAAATTAATATTAAGCATTTAATAATAAAATATTTTAATATTTTAAAAAAAAAAAATTTTTCTTTTGACACACGTGCGCCATTTGTCACACCATTATATGATACCGGGTAATGAAAGATAATTCATTTCCATTTTTGATGCTGTTACAATAATATTATTTCATGATGCACATAATACAAAGATAAAATTAATTGATTAATTACCATTATAAATCACTGTTAAAGTGATAAAGAGCACAATTTATAATTGAATAATGTTTATTGAATCTCACTGTAAAGCACAATTACAAGGAATTGAGCCGATCTATAGATGGCGCTTTTACTTGAAACGCCAAAGCAAATTTCCTTTATATATTCCGTTATAATGAATCTCTGATTGGTTAATATAAAAAACTTATATTATTTCATACCAATCAATAATGAGTTTAAAGTTTTTAGAAAACGGAAAACACCTCTCATCATTGAATACTAGCAAAAAACAATGAGAATTTTCTAATTTAATGTGTAGATGGCGTATTATGCTCGAATAACTGATCCGATTCTAAATTTTATTCCTTTTAAAATTTGTGAAAGACACGATATAAATTAAAGTATATAATAAATATATATTATTTATGTACGTATATATACTAATTAATTTCTTTTTATTATATATTTGAACGTTTATTCAATAATATCCATGTTATTAATTATATTGCATCAATAGATAAAAATGACTATTATAAAAAATAAATTATATAAATGTGTATTCCATTATTTTATATAAAAAAGATATATTCATTAATTGAATAATTTTTTCTAAGTATAAAAATATACTTCATCTTTCTATATATTACTAAATATTATTAATATATAAATAAATAAATATCAAGTTTATATTAAATATCAATATTTATTCTATTCAAAAGTATGTGTATTATAAGTTTCCCAATACAATTGTCATAATTATAACATATTAAAATGTATTAAATTGCTTATTATCTAATTTGATTATATAAAATTTATTAATTTTAAGATTATGTTTCATAGACTCTACAATTTTATATAAATATTATATCAAAAAGTTATAAAATTAATATAACAAATTATAATAATATAAGAAATTAAATAAGAA